AATAAAAGGATAACACCAATAGGTATGAAACTGAAACTCTTCTCAATATGCCACAAAGAAGAGACGCAAAGTTCTGGAAAATGAGATCTAAACCATAGGAGTCAACTAGACAAGGAGTACAGGCAGAAGGCGTGACGTGGAAGGGATGGAAAGCCATGATGCATGGAAAGCAGAAAAGAGCAGAAGCAATGTGGGAGACTGAAGGAAAATCAAGTACAGAGAGCAGAGGTGAACAGCTTGATTCTAGAGATGTGATCAAGGGCCATCGCCATGAAAGACTTTTTAACCATAGTGAAGAAATGTATTTATCCTAGGACGAATGTGAAGGTTGGGGGAGGGGATGGGGGATTATAATTAGTTACATCATCAATTTGGTATTTCAAAAATATATTTCTGGCTAGAATGCAGAATATGGATTGGCAAGGGGAAAAGTTATGTAAACCAGTTGAACATTTTCAGTACAGAGATACTGGTAGCATGGCCAAGAGAAAGAAGGATGAGATGCTGGTGATTTCTAAAATGTAAACGGATTCAAGAGACATAGAGGAGGTAAAGTCATAGGCCATCTTCTGCAATATTTACGTGGGGCCCGTGCAAAGTGTCAGGGAACACTGGAGGAGGAATGAGTTTGCAAAGGCAGATACTAAGTTCAGTTGGACACGTAGAGTTTGAGTTCTGCAGGAAACATTAAAGGACAGAGCAAAAAGACATTGGATTATGGGTGTGGAGCTTGTCAGAAAGTTCTGCCGTTTGGATATAAACTTGTGACTCATCTTCAATCCATAGTTGTGGATATGATGGATGTGATCCATAGGTGGATATGACTGCCTAGAGAAAGATTATAAAGTGAGTGGTAGAAGAGAATGCTAGGACCAAAGTCTTAAGGAATTCAAATCCATGCAGCCAAGTAGTGAAGGATGAGCTTGTAAAGGATGAAAGAAGGAAAAGTGAGAGAAGTAGAAGGGAACCCAGGAAACTGCTGGATCATATGTGGGGGGGAGGGGGAGCAAGGGAGCCAGGATTTCATTTCAAGAGGGCGGGAATGGTCAGTTGGTTTGAATGTGGAAGATTGAGAACTGTTTGTTTTATTTAGCAAGAGTGGAGAACACTGATCCATAGAGAATTGTTTTGAATTAAAATAAAGATAAATCACTAAGTGATATGTATGGGAAATCGAGTTCTAACTAGTTCTATTTGTGGCCATGCCTGTTTGAGAATATTTCACATTTCATATTTTACATCTCTCTTAACATGATACTTGGGGAGCCAGCACTAATAGAGAAGAAAGTCATTTTGACATGCTGTTGACCACTATAGAGCAGAACTGAGGTGGATTTTGACAATAGACAAGTCGAGGTCCTGGGGTCTGAACTGGAGAGAAAATATGACCTGAGAACAAGGAATTTTATGAGCACAATGCTGCCTGTCCCTCCATCCAGTGATACTAGTACAAGCAAGGTAAATAAACCAAACATTCATGAAGCAGTGTTGACTCGCCTCATCCACTTGCTGGCATCCCTGTGTCATAGAAGGAGGCTGTGAGCTGATACATTGTACAGCACATTCTCAGCAACTTCTTTGAGGCGAAATTCAACTTCTCTCCCTGCACCTGCTGCTACAACACAAAAGTCTGAGCATGCCCATTGGCAGGGGGAGGGGTGGGGAGTGGCAGGGAGACTGCAGAGTGGAAGTTAATACCTCAGCCAGTGAACACTGTGAGGAGGCAAAGGTCAGATTGCAGAAGTTTAAGCTGCCAATGGGAGGAAAGAAAAGAAAGATGACTATTGGTAATTATTTGCAGTAGGTCTGGCTATAAAGGGGAAGTGAGAGACTGGAGGGCAGCTGGAGGGAGGTAACTGGATGAGCAACCACTTATTCAATAAACAAATATTAAAATATCTTGCATGTGTCTGGTGCTAAGATAAGCACCAGGAAGAAATTTTCCAGCCCTGATGGGAGATCTGCCATAAGATCTATTTCTCGAATGCATAGTGACTAAATATTTTGTGATCTGATTTGCTGAAACAAATGCAACATCTTCCCTCAGATATAAACCTCACTTGATCTCTATAAAATGATCAAACAAGTTTGTGTTAAGATTAAAAAAGAGGAAAATAACATGTCCACCTGTACTTTTTTTTTCTCATCCTCTCTCCTTTCATTCCTTCTGTGTCCCAAATTTGGATAGTTCTGTTAATGTCACTTTTTCAGAAAATATCTTCTAGGATAGTGTTCTTAACCCTATGTTCAGAGCCTCTCATGTGCTATTTGATCATCTAATCTATAATTTATAGAGCACTCACATATTGGGGTATTGAATATTACCCCACGGAAGTTAGAAATGTGAATAAAGTGGGTTTCCCCTGACTAGATTTTAAGCTATATGAGGGTTCTTTGGCACTGCTCTATTTAGAGCTATTGAAAATAAAGTCAGAGTACTATAAATGGGATTTTGTAGTAAGGTTGCAGTTAAGGATCCTTGGGTAGTCAGAGAAAAGTACAATATATTCTTACACAAGAATTCAGGAAGATCCCTGAAAGAATTAATATTGGAACTGGGTGTTAAAAGATGAGCCACTGCAAAATCGCAGTGGCAGGAAACTACTTTTTGGAGGAGCCAGAGAGTGAGGAGAAATGGTTTGGTATGGTTAGAAAGGCCGTGTGGAAAGTGGTAATGCACAGATCTGGGATCTTGGAAAGCTCTGCTGAGGAGTCCTAGACTTGATCCTACAGTGACTGGAAGTGTCAGAAGTTTTAAGCAAGTGGGGAAGCATGAAGGAAGCATAAAAGAAAAGTGGGATCATCAGGAAAATTGGAAACCAACAAGGACTGGAAGCAGTGAGTACATGAGATGGGAGGCCACTGTCTGCGTGGAAGATAGATGGTGGATGGTGGGTGCATTTCTGCCATGACAGTGGCCTTGAACATGTAAAGGAGAAGTCAAGCTTCTGGTGCACAAAGTGGTCATAATCAGTTGGAGGTGTGTGTGTGGGAGGTGAGGAGATGGGGTAGAATGAAGAGGACTCCAGGTGTTCAAGCCAGGGAGAGGGACAATGCCAATGATTTTAAGTATGGAAGAAAAGCAAATTTTGGAGATGATAGGGATGAGGATCTAGCCCAGAAAGCATGAAAAAAGGTATTAAGACATTTAAGCCATGGGTGTGAATGAAATTGCTTCCTTGATGAAGGCCCACATTTACGGAAGGGAGAAGAGGAGCCAGAAGAAAAATTCGAGAGACGTTTCATACAAGATTAGAAGTGAGATTTTAAGGAAGCCAAGAAAAAGCTTCAAGGAAGAGGAATCATATTGTGATTTGTTTCATTTATATAGCTGACCCTTGAACAACATGGGTTTGAAATGTAGCAGTCCACAAATATGCAGATTTTTTGATAAATACAGTACAATACTATGAAGGTATTTTCTCAACCTTAACGATTTTCTTTCTCTAGCATATGTTGTAAGAACACACTATGTAATACAGGTAGCATATGTTATCCATGAGGCTTCCAGTCAACAGTAGGCTATTCGGATTAAGTTCTGGGGGAGTCAAAAGTTATATGCAGGGGTGCCTGGGTGGCTCAGTTGGTTAAACGTCCGACTTGGGTTCAAGTCATGATCTCGCGGTCCGTGGGTTTGAGCCCCACATCGGGCTCTGTGCTGACAGCTCAGAGCCTGGAGCCTGTTTCAGATTCTGTGTCTCCCTCTCTCTCTCTGCCCCTCACCAGCTCATGCTCTGTCTCTCTCTGTCTCAAAAATAAATAAAAGTTAAAAAAAAAAGTTATATGCAGATATGTGACCATGCCGTGTCAGCAATCCCTAACCCCTGCATTGCTCAGGGTTCAACTATATAATCATTTAGTTGTATCGTTCTTTCTTCCCTTTTGGATTGGCCCCAGGAAATGGGCTGTGCAGCTGGCAGTATCACGTCTAGTTTCACACTTCATGCTCTCCGCTCTACCCACTATTTACAAATGAGCAGTGACTGGCCGAGAGTCACCATCAGTCAATGACTTCCTTGGGAAATACCTCCCAACTACCGAGAATGTGTGTGTGTGTGTGTGTGTGTGTGTGTGTGTGTGTGTGTGTTAGGAAGCCACAACAAGGGAGGAAAGCCAGGTGATTTGTTAATTGGAAGTCAGTGGGTTCTTATTTAAGATTCCCATAACTTAAGCTTCATGTTTGTCTTTACAAGTAATATGATTTTATAGCAATAATAACTACCTCCAAGCATAAGTACTGTTTTGCCCTTCAGTTTTCATGGTAGGTAGTCATTCCCACTTTTGTTAAATAGTTGATTTAATTTCACTGTTTGTATATCCTGTTTTCCATGAAAATTTTTTCCATGAATTTTGGGTCAGGAAGATTTCTTCAGGAGAAGTAATGCATCTTCTCCTAACAATAGGAGTTATAGAAGAAATTATGTTTTCCTTTTACCTAAATTTCCAAGAAATTCAAATCCAAATGGCAACTTCAATTATTTCAACTGTTAACCAATATATAGGTAGCATATGAACTTCATTTCTTTTTCACTCTCAACCCTGTTATTTTTATTAATATTTCATGATTATTCTTCTTGGAAGTCACCCCAAATCTTTAAGATGAAGAGTCAGGGCATAAATAAGTACGTTCACTGTTAACTAAATGTTTTTTCCAGACATCATCTCATTTGATCGTCAGAACCCATTGACTAGCTGGTCTTATTACTCCCACTGGAGCCATGAGGGAATGGAGTCTCCATGAAGTTAAGGACATAAAGTTCATTCAGACAAATACTGAGTGGGATAAAACCCTGGGGCATCTTTCTCTAGTGGCAGAGTGGTCATTTCAGCCTGTGAGGCTTAAGCTTTTGTGGGCAGCTGGTCAATGTGTACATGGCATATGGCTGGCTGGGATAGCTCTTATTCTGATGAAAACTAATCACTGACATAAGAAACTAGTATTATTTTGAGCAGTTTTCTTCTTGATGATGAAATAGTCCCTGTTTGTATCTCCTCCCCAGATTTTATAACATTCAAGAAGCACATGAAAGACGCCTCTCATCAAGTATTCTTGATTAAGTTATGAAAATGGAATTGAAGCTTATTTTCCACCTTTGTATGGTAAGTAACTATGAATTGCCGTTCCTCTACTTCTAATTTCCTCACAATATTCACAAAAGAAATGGAAAGGCTTCTAGTATGAAGGTGGCATGACTTATGAATAATATCCAGGTTTGTGTTCATAATATTTCAGTAAAAAGGAGAATTTCAATTTTTTTTTTATTTCAGTTGTGGTTTTTATAAATTCTAGTTTGACATGTTTTATCTGGTTTAGAATTGGAGTCATTTTGAACGACATATGAGTTTTGATAATTAAAATAACATAACTCTTCTACCCATTTTATATATGCTTTTAATTCTCTAGTGAAAACTTATGTGTGGACTCTGAAAAGTCATGGCCACATACAAGGAAGGTTTAGAACTGCCACATTGCTGTGCAGTGGCCTTTCTCTTCATCCCAGAAGCCCTAGCTTAGAGCATCCACCCCATTTGGCCTGCACACTAACTGTCTTAAACTGGAAAGGCATACCACCTTACAAGTGATTTAGAACTGACTCATCTCACACGAGCAAAATCAGTTTTTAAAGAAAGGGCAGCATTATCAAGTTCTTCTACTAGGATATTGTGCTTGAAGGATTTAAAATGATTTGAGACAGTTCACTACTTTGTCCACCTACAAAATCATCTGTTATTTTCACTCTTCACTATATTTTATTTTTCTTTATATGTGCTAATGCATGTCTAAAGGAATAATTATTTATGTATAGCTATGAATATTCATTAATTAATTTCATTTATTCTAACAATTAGGGAGGTAGGCATATGTGAACTTGTGGGGAGACTGAATTATAGATAACTTTTAAATAAATGTAGCTTTTATCCTTTAAACTACATGTAGTAACTTCAACAAAACATTACAAAGTAGAAATCCTTAAGGAGACCTGTAATAATAAATCATATGAACATTTTGTTATTAGCATATAGATTGGATGTATGTAGGAGCTTGTAAAGTGCCTGAGGTTCACTGAAAATAGTTTATTCTGTGTCTAAAAAGTGCATGCAATATTGAAAATAAATGTTTAAAACATCATATATTATCTACCTATAAATAAAGCGCTTGCAAAGCAAAGGTAAACATCAGCCCAGCTCATGAACAAATTATCAAAAGATTTTAAATTTATTGAAGCCATAAATTAATGAGATATTACCATGTGTGCATAAATAACTTAAAGAATAAAATTTGCTGATCCTTCTCTCATATGGATATTTGTGCTAATGAATCAGGATCCTATTTACTCTATTAGTCCCCAAAGTAATTGCTTATTTGAAGAAGTTCTGTCTTATGGGTTTTCAGTTAATTAAATTTATTTGCATTTTATGCACACATTTTAAATTCTCAAGTCCTATTTTTCATAAGCCAGATTCAAATATGTTCATGTAATAATACCTCTCATTAAAGCATTAGTCTTTCATTTTTAAAGAAACTTTCAGAATAGCCGTATGCATAAAATGCTTATTAGTGAAATCCAATCAATATTTTAGAAAAGTCAACCCATTAAATACTATTTTTTTAGTTTAAATTTTCCTATTTGTAATGGTGATTACTATGCTGAACATACTTCCAATTTCTAATTTTTTGGTTAGCTTAATTTATTCAATTTTTTTCTCTTTGATTTTGCATGCTAGTTTTTAACTTCTAATATGCCTTTAGAATTACAAGCAACCTTTTCTCAAAGGGTAGTTTTTTCAAGGTATGTGCATATTAACTGATTGATCTTGCCAACCTAGTTGGGAGATCACTAAAGCATGAAGCAAAGCTTTTCTAAATCTAATACTGAAGAAGAGAGTATAATAATTCAACAAGTTAGAGATATTTTTTAAAGCGTTGTTTTCTCTTAGTTTTCAAATATTTGAGAAGTTGTGAATTAAAGTGCATAAATGATTAAAAAAAACAACTGTAAATACCTTTGTTAGATTCAAACTGTAGAAATTTTTCAGTGCTGCCCAAGCTTGGAAGCTTGAAACTGCCACTGAATTTAGGAGAGTAGAAAAAGTAGATGGAAGGGAAGTCAGGAAGAGCCTCACAAGATCCACATAGTGGGCCCAGGATCTGAAACCAAAGCACATGACAAGGCCAGATGCAGGGAAAGGCACCCAGGGGCACAATCTGGAAAGTTGAACGTGACATCCGGTTTTGAAATCATACTTAACTGAACTATTGCTAGGTGATTATTAGATGTTTCTCCAGTTTACAGTTTATCTAGCTTATTAGTTCCTCTTGCAAAAAAGGCACAAAATGAGAAACGGGCACCCTCCTACACTGTTGGTGGGAATGTAAACTGGTACAGCCCCTCTGGAAAACAGTGTGGAGGTTCCTCAGGAAACTAACAATAGAACTCCCCTGTGACCCAGCAATAGCACTGCTAGGAATTTACCCAAGGGACACAGAAATGCTGATGCATAGGAGCACATGTACCCCAATGTTCATAGCAGCACTCTCCACAATAGCCAAAACATGGAAAGAGCCTAAGTGTCCATCAACAGACTAATGGATCAAGAAGATGTGGTTTATCTATACCATGGACTACTACATGGCAATGAGAAACAATGAAATCTGGCCATGTGTAGCAACATGGATGGACCTTGAGGGTGTTATGCTGAGCGAAATAAGTCAGGCAGAGAAGGACAGATATCATATGTTTGCACGTATAGGAGGATTAGGAGGAACTTGACGGAGGACCAAGGGGGAGAAGAAGGGGGGAAATGGTGGGGGAAAGGGAGAGAGGCAAACCATGAGAGACTCTTGAATGCTGACAAAAACTGAGGACTGATGGATGTGGGGGGGAGGGGGGAAGGGCATGGAGGAGGGCACTTGTGGGGATGAGCACTGAATGTTATGTGGAAACTAATTTGACAATAAACTATTTGTAAAAAAAAAAAAAAAAAAAAAGTCACAAAGTGCAGGGCCCAGATACATTTAGGTACCAATTCCAGCCTAAGGTTATATCTGAATCAAAAAAGGGTAGAATATCCAAATGGACAAAGAAAGAAAAGGAAGCAAGGGAGAGAAAGAGGAAGGATATCCTAAAATTGGGATAAGTATGAATTATTTTTACCTTTTTGGCAATATTGGACAATAATATACTTTTGTTGACATCTAACATGAGATAGAAGTATAAAATGGAAAACAACTTTTGATTCACTTTAAAATTCATACACTTTATAATAAAATAAGCAAATTTCATTCAATTAAGTCTTATTAATTCATTTAAGCCATGATCCATGGAAAGCATAATGCTGACAGTATCCTAAGAAGATAACATTTCCTTTGTAGTTGGAATCGCCCTAAGGAAGCATTTCTCCTCATTTAGACAAAGTAGAAATAAAGCACTTGTATTACCACGTGTATAAATTTTTAATACTGAATAAAATATTAGTGTTTAGTGTAATATTGATTCTCAACATATTACTCCTCCATAATAGCATGCTAATTGGTTAGAATTAAATTAGACAGATTCAAAAACCCTGAGAACAGACCATCTAACACTTGTAATTTTTTTTCATTAGTTTCCAGAACTCCAATTAAAATGGAATTAATCTGCCAAATAAAAGGCCATGGTACAATAAAAGTTCCATGTACTATGTCACGTGCATGCCTTCCCCCCTCCCAGGGCCGCACCCCCACAACAAGATATAGAAGTGAAGAGGATGGAGAAGAGGAAACATCATCACTTGTGAATTGGAACCACATACTAACAGCCTTCAAAAGAGGCAGGCAATATATGTGCATTACAGCTCTATAATTTACTAGCTGTGAGACCTCGAGCATCTTACTTGAAACTCATAGAGCCACAGTTTCCTCATCAATAATATTGTTAGTCTAATAGTACCAAACTCCTAAAATTATTGAGGAAGTAAAACAGAGATTCTTTTAATCTAGGGGTGATTTTTTCTCCCAACAGGAGACATTTGGTAATGCCTCAAGATGGTTTGGCCTGTCACAACTGGAGGCAGTGGGTGCAATATGGGCATTTGGGGAGTAGAAGCCAGGGATGCTGCTATTCAAGATGCACAGGACAGCTCCCCAAAATAAGGAGTCCACTGGTCCAAAGGTCAGTGGTGCCAAGACTGAGAAACCCTAGAGAACAGTGAAGTCATGTATGTAATGAGCATAATGTCTGATACAGAGTAGGCCCTCAAAAAATATTAGTATAATTACATTGTTATTGTTGTCATTATTTGTTTGATAAGGAGCTCCAAATCACCCTCATGGTATCAAGACTGAGTACTACACACAATTCAGTAAGCCCATTCTAGCACAATCAGGCCTATCTGCTACGTCATCAGATGGACTGTCCAATTTTTAGGTGCCTTCAGGAATGGACTGACCCACTTAATGCTTGACTAGTCTACCAAGCTCACAGATAGGATTGTACCAAAGTCCATGGGCTAGCATTTAATTTGTACTTTCTTAGAAATTAGAAAAAAAAATAGGAAAAGACAAATAAAAAGTAACTTACAGTACCAGGTGACTATTACTGTCTGTCTAACTCCTGCTGTTAGTAATGGCTCAGGAAGTCTCCTGATGATCATTTACTTTACAAAATAAATTAATGTCTGGACATCATTTGTCTGGACAAACGGAAATATGGCCTTCTGGTTAACATAAGACCTTGACTATTTATATGGTACACAAATGTTACCAATTTTAAAATAAATTGAATGCAGCAAAATAGTTTTAGCTTCATGTTAAAACAGTGTAGGAAGGGAAGACTCTTGCTTAATGCAAAACCTTCAAGGTCAAAGAGACCTGTGTTTGAATTTCAGCTTTATGATCTTCAAGCTGTGTGACCTTGAACAATTTGCCTTTTCTGAGCTCAGTTTCCTCATCTGTTTAATAGGCAGAAAGTTATGTCACAGGATTGTTGAGAAAATTAAATGATACATGCAATATTTGACATATATCAGCAGTGAATAAATAAATGGTAGTTATCATTTCTTTTGGAGAAGTGGCATTGCCTCACGGTTGTTATAGCCACTGATTTTCATTGTAAGAATGGTAACTATGATGTGTATGTGCTTTTTATTAACAGAAAAAGCTCAAAATAATCCATAACCTCAATAAGCAAAAACCTTAGACTTACTTCAATAAAAGTGATTTAAGAAGAAAAAAGAAAATGTACATATTATACATGGAATTTCCCAGAGAGAATTTTTTTAAGGAAAAGGTGGATTTCCTAAATTAAAGAATGAATGATGTGCACATCGTCCTGGCATATTTTAATATAGTTGATAATCCACTTTTTAATTAGCCACCTAATTACAATTCAATAGAAATTTCCCTAGGTGAATGTAGTAACCTACTTCAGAGAGAGAAATGGAGCTCTGAGTGGGCGCTCCTACTGTGAATTTTGACACTTTTTCAGGTTCAATTTGTTCTAAGCCTAACTGGCCCCGGAGAGATGGGGAGAGCTCTGTTTCATAACCTAATAATTCCAACAGCCAGGAAGGCTGACTATGAGGCTAAATTCACCTTTCATCATTTTTATTTTTTTTAATTTTCATTATTTTTATTTTTCTCTTTTCTTTGTTCCCTGGAGAAAACCCAACTCTTTTTTTATGTTTCCATCATTCAAATATTTTAAGTTGAAAACAAAAACATTTATGCATAACACAAACTGTGGCCCCCTTCCTTTTCTTGGGAGTTTGTTTGCTTTCTTCTTAACTCAAGTCTCCCTTACTTCCAGCTCTTGAGAAGCAGGAGACTGAAAGGCATGTGAGGAGACCATCTCAAGGTCATAGTCTATACCTGTTTAATTCGACAACCCAGACTGTGCCAAGGAGGGAGATTTTTTTTTTTTAATCTATTCCTTAGCAATAGAGGTTGAAATTTCTCAATCTTCAATAGTTACTTTTTATCATTAGTTGCTTATCACCTTAGTCTAAAATGTTTTCAAACTCACCAACTTTTGCTTTATCAGTTGATTAATAAATTGATTGCTTCATTAATTCTCTCTTCCAACCAGTTTTAGCTTTGTGTAGTTACAACTTCAGTATGTTTGCAGATAATTGCATGCTATTGTCTCTCATTAATTTTTGGCTCATATCCATTAAACATATGCAGACAAGAGAGGTGAACTTTTCATTTTATTAACTCCTTGGTTTTACCCTTGCATCCTACACTCTATCTTCAATAAAGTATGAGTCAGATCATTTTGTTTCTTGACTCAGAACTCTCCAGTAGGTCCACTTCAATCAGAGTAAAAGCTAGAGCCTAACAATGGTCCTCAAGGGCATATACGTTTCAGACCACCATGACCACCATCTCCTGCCCCAACTCCCATATTTACTCCACTCCAATTACTCTGGTTTCCTTATAGTTCTGTTAGCACACCAGACATATCCCTTCCTCAGGGCCTTTGCACTTGCTATTTCTTGTCTGAGACAGTCTTCCCCCAAGAATGCACGTGATTTACTCTCTCATCTCCTTCAAGTCTTTGTTCAAATGTCAACTTCTCAATGAGACCTTCACTGACCACACTTTTAAAAATGAAACTTTAAAAAAGAAAAGGGGAGGGGGGGTGCTGGGTGGTTCAGTTAGTTAAGCATCTGACTTTGGCTCCAGTCATGATTTCATGGCCCCACATCGAGCTCTCTGCTGTCAGGGCAGAGACCACTTGGGATCCTCTGTCTTCCTCTCAAAAATATAAACATGTTTGTTTTTGAGAGAGATGGGGGAGGGGCAGGGAGAGAGGAGGACAAAGGATCCAAAGCAGGCTCTGCACTGTCACCAGGAGAGCCCAACGCAGGGCTCAAACTCATGAACCATGAGGTCTTAACCTGTGCTGCAGTCAGACACTTAACTGACTAAGCCACCCAGGCACTCCCCCCCAAAATCTTCTTAAATAAAATATAAATTTATTAAAAATGTAACCCCTCCCCACACTATTTTCCTTCCTTGATTTGTTTTTCTCCATAATACTGGTCATTCTCTAATAATTTGTGTAATTATTCATTTTCTGTGTCCCTCCATTAGACTATAAGCTTCATGAGGGCAGCAAGTTTTGTTATTTTTGACTGGTATATCCCAAGCACCTACTCCAATGACTAGTATCTGGCAGATACTTGATAGATATTAGTTAAACTGAACTGAAGTAGAATTACACACTTACTGACCTTATTTCATTTCCTTCAAAGCTTTCATTTGCTTTCTATTGGTCCTTATCTTCTGATGTTTTGCCACTATTGCTCCTATAGGACATCTTTGATCCCCCACCCCCCAGCTGGATTTTGGAAATGGAAGAAGCAATTTCAATGTGCTTCCTTTTGATCACTGATAAGCTTTAAGTAGGATATGTTTTGCGTTTTAGCCGTATTCCTTTTCTATTAGATGAGGAGATTGTTATCACCAAAATTGTGAATTGACTGGGATAAATTAGAATCTTGATCAGAACACTCCTGGGTGAATCCTGATGCAAAAGATAGGAACAGAGGAAGAGAGAGATGGAAATGCTAAGCTCTAAATAGGTATCCTTTTCTTAGCACACATGTTCGTAGCATAAATATTAGATCCTTAAACCTGATTCAAGAAACTACGTACTTCCTGATGACAAGAAAGCCATAAATATAGTTCATGACCAAAGATTAGTCACTGTTTATTATTGCTGGTGACACATGATACGTTGGGGAGACCTGGCAATATTTCAGACATCTCCAGTCAGCCATTTATCATTTCATAGTGGGAGATGAGGAGGTATTTCTATATTTTTTTCAATTAAACTTTTTATTTTGAGATATATAGATGGACTTGTAAGGAATATTACAGAGAGTTTCTTTTTAGCTTTAACTGTTCTCCAAATGGTAACATCTTGCAAAACTATACTATACTATCATAATACTGACACTGATCAAATTAGGATATACCACAGGAATTTTCAGATTGCCTGGATTGCCCCTTTTTTAATTCCTGGCAACCATTAATCTTTTCTCCATTGCTCTAGTTTTAGCTTTTCAAAAATGACATATGCAAGGAACCATACAGTATGTACCTTGTGGGAATAGATTATTTCTATATTAACAGCCCCCGTAAAAAGGGAGTGAGTGAAGAAACATCTCATGTGTTTTATCATTGAGAGTCAAAGGGACACTGGCAATGTTAAAAATGTGCTGAGTAGATTACAGGTTTTGTACGAGTTGGTCTTCTAAACAAGAAGACTCCTTTAAAAACAAAGTAGTAGAGGAAAAAAGGAACTATGTTCTATGTTACTTAGTTCTCCCTTGTGCCCCTGAATGATATTTCTGGACTCGAGAAACAATTTCTGAGAAACAGAAAGAAGCTTGATTTATCTCCAAAGCCTCTAACATTTTGAGCAGCACAATGGCCTTGAGACCCTGCTGCTGCCCCAGCACAGGGTCACCCTGCAGTTATGCAGTATGCAGAGACCCAGTGCACGGTCCTCAACCCAGCGTAACAATGCTTCCCTACTTCAGCCTAGAATTTAGATTAAATCAAGGCACAGAGCATGTTAACAACTTCGGCCTGACTAAAAAATTCAAGCCTAAATTCCCTTCATAACTACTATGGCCATGCAAGTGAAAGACATAAAGCTCTCTTGGAGAGTATTTTAAAAATGGCCTTGGAGGGGCGCCTGGGTGGCTTAGTCGGTTAAGCGTCCGACTTTCGCTTGGGTCATGATCTCGCGGTTCGTGGGTTCGAGCCCCGCGTCGGGCTCTGTGCTGACTGCCAGCTCAGAGCCTGGAGCCTGTTTCAGTCTGTGACTCCCTCTCTCTCTGACCCTCCCCTGCTCATGCTATCTCTCTCTCTCTCTCCTAGAAATAAATAAAAAAAACGTAAAAAAAAAAAAAAATGAAAATGGCCTTGGAGGGGCTTGAGTGGCTCAGTCAGTCAAGCGTCTGACTTCGGCTCAGGTCGTGATCTCGCAGTTCGTGAGCTCGAGCCCCACTTCCCGGCTCTAGGCTGTCAGCTCAGAGCCTGGAGCCTGCCTCAGATTCTGTCTCTCCCTCTCTCTCTCTGCCTCTCTCCCACTCATACTCTGTCTCTGTCTCTCAAAAATTAATAAACATTAAAAAAAATTAAAAATGGTCTTTGGGA